CCTCGGGAGCCCGCGTCCCTTCGCACCCCGAGTGCGTCGGCTCAGGAACGACAAGCTTTTAAAGTTGAAACAGGAGCCACCACCTTCTTGTGTGCATGTGTGTGTTTGTGATTCTTTCTGTTTTTAATTTTTTCAAAGAGTCAGCAGTCAATTTTGAAGTTTTTCCTGAAGAAGCTAATCCAGAGAACCCTCCCTCCTAACAGTGTCCAGATAAATTAAGCCCTACCGATGGCACGTTTTTAAAAAAGGGGTTTAATCGTCCCACTCACTGTCACATTTTAAAAATCACAATTCGGTTGGCATTCCCCTTTAATGGCTTAGGTATTTATCCGAACGGTTGTGAAAGTACCGAAAGTACCGAAGCAACTAGGAGATAAGAGGTAATATCGGGCTGTTTAGCCAGCAAGTCAAATGCTGACCTCAGCAGCCTTAGGGCAATTTATACTTGGGCCAGAAAAGTCCTTCCCGGCTAGTGAACAGCGTCCTCCGTCCTCCGCTGTTGAGGCAGCTGGACCCTGCCCCTGAGCAGCTGGGAGGGGCGGTGCGGCCTGCTGCTCTGTCCTTCCAGGCTCTCCTGGGATGTCTGCCCCGCCTCCCCCCAATCAAAGGGCCAGGATTCAGGGCGAGATAAGCTTCCAGGCCTACCATGGGGCAATTCTGAGTCCAAGGTCCCTTTCTGCCCCTCCTCACCCTGTCTTCGTGCAGCTGGGGGCTGGGCTTAAGGGCTGGGGTGGGGTGGGCAGGGGTCTCCTTGCAGCTCTGGGCCCCCCACTTTAAGGTTCCTGGATTCCCGGTTACCTGATCTGTGTTTGCACGCGTGAGAACCAAGAGGCCCAGTCCCCAGCAGTTAGGAGGTGTTCAATAAAACACTTTTTCCTCTGTCTTTTCATAAAATTTCCCTGCTGCCTCTCAGGCCTGGAAAAGTCTCTCTGTTGGGCAGGGATTGGTGGTGGCCGTGGGGGTGAACCCTAAGCAACATTGGTTCTTGTCTTGTTAGTGCTTTTTGGCTCCATGTGGATGTTACAAGTATCGCGAGTGTGAGGGGCCTGGGAGAAACCGAGCTTTGGGAAAGGCAGCGTGGTGTGCTCAGGGGTGGCCCGGAGTCCGGGGCCTAGAGTTTAATGTCTCAGGGGCTCCGGGCAGAAAGCAAGGGCTGGTGCACCAGGGTCAGGGAGCCCTGGCTGCCGGGCCATTCAGAGCTGTGGAGAGGGACCCGTGTGGCTGTCACACTCAGAGGCTTGGCTTCCTCTCTGAGGATGAGGATGAGGATGAGGATGAGGATCGGCACCCAGAACCCAGCCCCCTGGCCGCCCCGTCAGTGCCCACGGGCTCTGTGGGCTGCTCTAATCTGTCATCGTGCAGCTTCCTGTACCTGGGTGCACTGTCCAGAGGGCGGGGCAGAGTCGCGCCCGGCGAGCTTTGTCTTTCTAAGGTGGAAGGAGCTGGGGAAGGGCCTGGCCTCTGCAGACGCCCCTGCAGCCCCCAGCTCTGCTTCTCCGCTTCCTGGGAACCAGCTCCTCTGCCCCTGGGAGCCCCGGCACCCAGCCTGGGCGCGCAGCAGGGCCGGGCTCTGAGCGGCTGAGCGCAGGGGCAGACAGGGCGCAGATCGGGGCTCTGGGCCCCTGGACCTTCTCCAGCTCGGTGCTGAGACGCTGGCTCCAGAAGCCCGGCCTTCCCCGCAGGCACGCTGGTTTGGGGGACACCGTGGTCAAGAGGAGGAAGCAGGGAGCAGTGCGGGGAGGAGGCGGCTGAGAGCAGGTGCGGAGGGTGGGACGTGGCTCCGGGAGGGGGATCCTTGACCCGGAGGCAGAGCTCTTGGCGGAGAGAGGGAGGAAGAGTGCCCTGTCAGTGGGTGACTGGGCCCCGCTGGCCCCTGCAGGAAGGGGCGGTGGGTGGGAGTCAGCGAGCAGTCTGAGCAGGGGGGTGGCTGTGAGGGAGCCAGTCTCCTGGGGAGGGGTCCCTGCTCACGTCCTTCCTGGCGAGGGGCGGGGCTGGCCTCTGTCCCGGGGTCAGTGTGGTGGGCGAACAAGGGAGAGGGAGGGATGGTCGCCCTGGGGCAGGTGCTTCGGAAGGAAGGCCGCTCTCTGGGCAGGCTGCCTGTGCCCTGGGTGCCGGGGGTGGGAAGGGCAGGAGTGGCTGCCCCCCCAGCGACCCTAAAGGTCCTCTAGCTGCACAGGTTTCCAAAGGCCCAGGCGCAGTCCTCTCTGCATCCGCTGGGTGGGGCCCACAGCCCATGAGCATGAGGAGTCCAGGGAGGGCTGGGCTGGGCTGGGGCTGGCCCGCCACCGGCCTGCTGTCCCCTCTGAGGCCCAGCTCCCTCTGTGGGCCCTCACCCGCCTCCGCCCGCCTCTCCCCCGCGCAGAGGAATGGAGGGTCGCCCCAGCAGCTCTGAGCTCCACCATCTCACCGCCCTGCTCCTCCTCATGCCGCTGCTGCTCACTGCGGGGTCCGCAGGTGAGTGTCGCCTGACCCTCTTCCTGTGTCTCTCCCAGGCGGGCGGGACCCCGGGTGGGTGGGGCCCAGGTCCCCTGCGGGCGCTCTCCATCAGGAAAGGGGAGGGGGGGCAGTTGGGGGAGGCCCTTCTCTAAGAGGCAATAGTTGTAGTTAATGTTCAAGAACAGTCCCCGAACCAGGAAATTAGGATGCGGCCTGGACGATGGGCCATTGAGGAGCGTGCGAGGTTTAAAGTCAGCTTCAGAAGTGTGGGGTGCCTGTCCTCTCTGCCGCGCTGCCGGCTGTGTTGGGACCCTAAGCACCTCTCGTCCCGGGACCATTTCATTCCATGAGTAGCTACAGGGTGCCGCCGTGTGTCAGCTGTTCTGTGAGCAACACAGAGGGGCTGTCTTCACAGAGCGGCATTCCCACAGGAGGCGGCGAATGTGCAATGCAACTGCCCAGTCCCAGCGGAGGCAGAGAGAGGTGGGGGTGCAGTGGAGCAGGCGGGAGTGGCTGCGGGGAGGTGGGCAGTGTGGGCCGGGAGCTGGCAGGGGCTTGGAGGAGCAGGGCTGGGAGCCCCTGAGGGACCCTACAGACAGGACCGGCTGGTGCGGAGCTGGCACATGCGGGGGTTCAAGGCACAGAGGACATTGGAGCGGAGTGGGCTTGAGGGATGGGAGCGGGGTATGGCGGGAGTCTCTCTTTTCCGCGTCCAGCATAGAAAGAGAAATGAACCAGTTCTTTGAGTAGAGGCGCTTGGGATTGAGAAATGAAATAAAGAGACAAGACAAAGAAATAGAAAGAGAAGCTGGGACCGGGTGGGCTTCTGCCCTTTGATGGAGGGACAGACAGGGCGGCCAGCACCGGAACCATGTGTTTAATTTATACCCAAATACCAGGAAGTTACATCACATCTGGGTGGGCCTTGAGTTCCTGGGGACACAATGAGATGCACCCCTAGCACCTGGGCTGGAAAGGTCAGACTGAGTGGCTCCTCCCCTCTTGGCTAGGACCGCCCTCAGGGCGTGGCTCTGCCTGCGCCCGCCGAGGGTCGCAGGGCTCCGAGCGGAGCAGGGACACGGCAGGTGACAGGGTCACAGGCGGGAGGGGGGGAAGAGGACAGATGAGCCTCGGCTGAGGCCACGCAGCCCAGGTGAGGGGGCCCCTCGGATGTGCAGCGGGCGGTGCTGCCGCAGAGCCCGTCATGCCTGTCCACAGGCTGGGGCGGCTCTGAGGGGCGGCCTCCTCCTCTCCTCCAAGCAGTGCTTGGGCCCCGCGAGCAGGGCTGAGTCCCCACAGAAGCCGACCGAGGAGAAAGGCGGGCCACCTGGGTGCGGTGGGAGGGGGTCCCTGGGCGAGGCTGAGCGAGCAAGAGTTGGGACCTGGTCAGTTTCCAGTCCTGTCCTTGGAGGGGCCAGGTGGGCGCTGTGTTCTGGGGGGTCCCGAGCCTCAGTGTCAGCTGCGGGGACTCGCCAGCCATGCCCGTTCTCGGGCCACCCACCGAGTCAGAGCTGTGTTTACAAGCCCTGCTGGTGACTCCACCCCGAGTGACGGGAGCCCAGGTGGAGAAGGGGGTCGTTCGGACATTCCGCCCAAACTTTGTGACCAGAAGATCGTGCCCTGATTCCGAGCGGCTACACCCGCGCCCCTGCCTGGGCCTTCCGGCCTGAGGGTGTGTGCATCTCCGTCTTCCTCCCTCTTCCTGTGTCCACAGAGGAGTTCGCGGTCCTGGGCCCCGCGGAGCCCCTGGTGGCCGTGCTGGGCGGGGACGTGGAGCTGCCCTGCCGCACCGCCCCGGCCAGGAGCGCGGAGAACATGCAGCTGCGCTGGTTCCGCTCCAAGTTCTCCGAGGCCGTGCTCATCTACGAGGACCGCGGGGAGCAGCCCGAGGAGCTGATGGCCCAGTACGCAGGGCGGACCTCGCTGGTGACGGAGCTCCTGGGCCAGGGGCAGGCTGCCGTGCTCATCCGCGACGTCCAGGCCTCCGACGACGGGCCCTACTCCTGCTTCTTCAGGGAGGGGGAATTCTATGAAGAGGCCAGCTTGGAGCTGAAGGTGGCAGGTGGGTGACTTGCTCTGCACTCTCCCGGGGCCTCCAGGACCGTGCAGTCCAGCCCCTCGCTTTATGGAGAGGAAAGGGCGGCTCATTCACTCCTTCATTTATTCACTGAAAATATAGAGAACCCCCACTGCGCGCCAGGCCTGTTCTGGGCGCCTGGGATACACCGTGAAGCAGAGCCCTGCCTGTGCCGTTACCTTCTAGACCAGGGGTCCTCAAACTTTTTAAACAGGGGGCCAGTTCACTGTCCCTCAGACCGTTGGAGGGCCGGACTATAGTTTAAAAAAAAACTATGAACAAATTCCTATGCACACTGCACATATCTTATTTTGAAGTAAAAAAACGAAACAGGAACAAATACAATATTTGTATTTGCATGTGGCTCGCGGGCCGTAGTTTGAGGACCCCTGTTCTAGACAGTAGCTAGGGAGATACACGGTACGTGGGTTACGCAGGCAGGCGGTGGGCAGTGCTGAGGATACAAGGCCAAGTAGACAGGGAAGCAGGCCAGGCTGCGGGGTGGGGCGGGGGCAGGCTTCATGGTCACACAGGGCTCACCTGGGCTCTTCCTGACACTCTGAGCACAAGTTCCAAGGAGGGAGGGATGTAGCAAGTGGCTAGGGGGCCAGGAGGGTGCCCAGCAGAGGGAGCCCCCGTGAAGCCAGAGCTGGGGTGTGGCTGGAGGGCTCCCGGCACCTGAGGAGGCCACCGTGGTTTGTCCGTGAGACGAATGAAGGGGAGGGCGGTAAGAGCTGAGGATCCTGGAAAAGGATGTTCCTGGTGCAGGGTGGGCCGATGGACAAGCCAGGACATTCACAGGGAGTGCGCGCCCAGCAGGTGCCTGAGGTCACCAGCCCAGGTCACAGTTCCACTGAGCACTTTGAGGCTGACGGCCTGGGATTGGATGAGGCAGGTGATTGTGTTTTGAGCAGCTACCGAACAGTCCTGTGACCCGAGTTGTGGCCCCTCGGGGCCCAGGTGGGGGGAGGCGGTCAGTGGGGAGAGCAGGTGGAGGAGGCCGGTGGGGGGAGGCGGTCAGTGGGGAGAGCAGGTGGAGGAGGCCGGTGGGGGGAGGCGGTCAGTGGGGAGAGCAGGTGGAGGAGGCCGGTGGGGGGAGGCGGTCAGTGGGGAGAGCAGGTGGAGGAGGCCGGTGGGGGGAGGCGGTCAGTGGGGAGAGCAGGTGGAGGAGGCCGGTGGGGGGAGGCGGTCAGTGGGGAGAGCAGGTGGAGGAGGCCGGTGGGGGGAGGCGGTCAGTGGGAAGAGCAGGTGGAGGAGGCCGGTGGGGGGAGGCGGTCAGTGGGGAGAGCAGGTGGAGGAGGCCGGTGGGGGGAGGCGGTCAGTGGGGAGAGCAGGTGGAGGAGGCCGGTGGGGGGAGGCGGTCAGTGGGGAGAGCAGGTGGAGGAGGCCGGTGGGGGGAGGCGGTCAGTGGGGAGAGCAGGTGGAGGAGGCCGGTGGGGGGAGGCGGTCAGTGGGGAGAGCAGGTGGAGGAGGCCGGTGGGGGGAGGCGGTCAGTGGGGAGAGCAGGTGGAGGAGGCCGGTGGGGGGAGGCGGTCAGTGGGGAGAGCAGGTGGAGGAGGCCGGTGGGGGGAGGGGGGGAGGGGGTCAGGGGGGAGAGCAGGTGGAGGAGGCGGGTGGGGGGAGGCGGTCAGTGGGGAGAGCAGGTGGAGGAGGCCGGTGGGGGGAGGGAGGCTGTGTTGGGGGAGCTGGATGCCCTGCTGAGGAAAGAGTACAAGGCAGTGCGGGACGGTCCCCCTGGCAGCTGAGAGGACGGATGGAGGGAGCATGGCTGGGGCTCGGACGGACCCGGTTATGAGGGGGGAGGTGACGACCCGAGTGGCACTGGGCGGGCAGAAGGGATCGCACATCGTGAGGCTTCCAGAGTAGACCCACTGGGTGAGTAGGTTGGGGACACAGACAGTTTGCAGAGAGAGGGGACTGTGGCGCTGTGGCTGGTGAGAAAGAAACGCCTTTTCTAAGGGTCCCAGCCAGCGTGACCCACTCAGGGCACCCAGCCTGCCACCAGCCAAACACCTGCAGCGCCCTTTCGTGCAGAGGCCACTAAGCCTCTGCAAGGAGAACGGAAGGGCAGGAGTCACAGATAGTTTACCTGAACTCACCTGCTAACTGGGTGGCCATCTATGAGCTCATTGGAGGAAAAGCTCAGCCTTTGGAAGGGAGGTGGTTTACAGCTCAGAGCGCGCCCACTGCAGCCCGCCTGCTGCCGCGGGTGGGAGGGAAGTCCGGGGGGAGGGAAGGCCAGAGGTTAAAATATCAGAGGGGCCTCCATCTCCTCCCTGCGCAGGTGTGGGCTCTGCCCCACGAGTGCGCATCACAGGGCCGGAGGAGGACGGGGTCCGCGTGGAGTGCGCGGCCTCTGGGTGGTTCCCGAAGCCCCAGGTGCACTGGCGAGGCGGTGGCGGAGCGCAGTTCCGGGCGTTCTCCGAGGCCCACGCCCAGGACGCCCGCGGGCTGTTCAGCGTGGAGGCCGCACTGGTGGTGAGAGACCGCTCTGTGGGCAACGTGACCTGCTCCTTGCACAACCCCATCCTGGGCCAGGAGAAGGCTGTGGCCATTTTCATCCCAGGTCAGAGCAGCTCCCGCTCCCCAGCTGGAGGGAGGGCGGGCCTGTGCGCGCTGGGGGGCTGTCCC